GCCCTATAGCAAAAAACCTCTCAAAAATAAATAAATAAATAAATAAATAAATGAGAAAAAAAGTGTGGCACATAAACTCTATGTAATACTACTCACCCATAAAAAACAAGACCCTGGCTTTTGACATAAAGTGGATCAATAAGGATGACTTACTGCTGAGTAAAGCAAGCCAGGCTAAGAAAGAAAGACACTATATTTCTCCACTTAAATATAAACCAACTGTCCACACTCTATGGCTGAAACTGAATTACTAGGGGATACAGAAACACAGAAAATGGTTATAGATGCCAGATACAGTGTGGGAAGAGGGTGGGAAAAGGAGGAGAGACTGAGGAAAGACATTAAGGAGAAAAATAGAGAGGCAAGACATTTATAGGAAGAAGAAATGGATTATTATCTAACATGTATAATATCATGTATAGTATCCCCAAGTGGACTAGTGAGAAGAAATGGATTATGATCTAACATGTATAATATCATGTATAGTATCCCCAAGTGGACTAGTGAAACATGTATACATGTTGGAACATTCACTCTACAAGCTATATGATGTATGTGATTGAACAAATGTATAAAAGAAATTAAAATTAAATTAAGTAATAAATAAATTAATTAAAAATAAATTAAATATTTCACTTTAGCAAATGGCACATAAATACATGACCATACCAACGCATTACTAATATTCCTTCCAGGCTATTAAAAAGGAGGTCAGCGACAACCCCGTGGCCTGGTGTTTGAGGAAGCCTAATCCTACATGACTGACCATGTGGTTCAAGAACCAGCCCCAGCAGAGGCTTGAAAACCACCCAAGGCACATATGCATGAATACCCCAAATCCCAACAGGATGGAAAAATGAAAGAAAAAGGATTGTGGCATGACCACATCCTATTGGTATTGGTGGGGGCAGAGGAAAAGGGTGCTTTCTCCCTCTCTCTCTCTCTCTGTCTCTTTGTTTCTCTCTGGCAAGCACACATGCCCTCTGCCCAAAAAAAGGAAGTCAATGCAAATAAGAAGCCTAAAACTTAAGCTTCATTAACTTCACAGTAAATCTGTCTAGAAAACTTAACACTTAGTAAAATATATTTTAAAGAAGAGAAAAGAGAAGAAAGGTCACTAACATAACCCTGGATTATAGAGCTTTTGGCCGAAGGTGGAGAGGCAGAGCTGGAAAAGGCAGAGAAAGTGTGCTTCCTTTCATTTTTAGCAATCAAATTATAAATGTGCCCTAAAAAAATACAGCCTTGAGTATCTGTCACTGGGATTCATATAAATCACTGCTTGTAACACAAAGTACTTTCATATTATATCACTGCCATTATTCCTTTATAATATAACTGAAATTCAATTCCATTTGTTTGACCTTAAACAGAACTTATTAAGTAGTGGTGATTTCTGGGATGATGTAGTGGCGATCAACAGTCTTACTTATGAGTATGGTATAAATAAGTTGTTTTGGGAAATAGGAACTGCAAATATCAAAGTAGAATCTAGTCCTATAATTATATGTGGATATGTTAGCAGAAACAAATATTCACCTAAAATAGTTTGCAGAGAACTGGGAAATTTGGAAAATAACAATAGTTATCAGTGGACAGGAAGTATCTAAGTCACTTGGAGAAAAATATGTAAATTATTAGGTTGTCAGAAAAATTATGATATGTTTTTCTATGCAAAAATGCTTCATGACTTTTCCAACAACGCAGTAGTTTCCAGATGGATAATAATAGCTCTATTGCAATTAGCACAGACACTACTATATAATTAGTAAGATTAAGCCTCTATTCTCATCCCCATCAGTGGCTGCACCTTAGATCAAGTGGACGAGATATAATTGGTTTCATTCGAGGATAAATTAAATGCAGATGTGATAGTCATTACTCATAGAAATTAATTTTTTAAAGAGAGGTTTTTGTTATAGGTTGCATGTGCTCACCAAAAAGGCAGACAGAGACAGGAAGCCAGAAATCTCCCCCCGGGGGGATGGCCAAGCCACAATCCCTTCTCCTCCATTCTCCTGTTGGGATCTTGGGTACACACACATACACACACACATGCTAGGTATGAGTTTTAAGCCACCAGGTCTGGGACTCGAACTACAGTTGACTACATGGGAGTCCAGCAACGTGACCATTACGCCATCTGCTGGTCCCTCTCTCTCATTCTGATAAGCACATGCACCCCAAGGCGGGGGGAAAAAAAAATCTTAAAAAAATTTACGACCAGCAGATGGCATAATGGCTACATCACTGGACTTCCACGTAGTCAAATGCAGTTGGAGTCCCAGACCCGGTGCCTTAAACTCACGCCAGGTGTGTGTGCGTGCGTGCCCAAGATCCCAAGAGGACAAAGGAGGAGAAGAGATTGTGGCATGGCCATCCCCACCGGGGACTGATTTCTCATTTTCTATCTCTCTGTCTCTCTCTCTTTCTGGCGAGTGCACGCGCCCTATAGCAAAATCCTCTCAAAATAAAATTTAGCTTACATGTCATATGAAACCATGTGGGCAGATTGCATTTGGCTGCAGAATGTCATTTTCTAACCCGTGTCATTTAGCTTACATGTCATATGAAACCATGTGGGCAGATTGCATTTGGCTGCAGAATGTCATTTTCTAACCCGTGTCATATACATAAGAGGAGTCTTAAGCTAACCAGAACTGTGTTTGCAGCTGTAGTACACTTAGAATGCTATTGATGCTCAAAAAATGTTAAATGATAATATACTCTTCTTTGGACATAACATACAAAGTGTACCAGTAATTCTCTAGACATTTTCACTTCCATTTTTAATTACAAAGATGATAATCATTCTGCTAAGAAAGAGAAAGAAAATCCCCTAACCCATTATCTGAGAATATATATTTTAGTTCAGTATGAGATTAATAGTAATAAAAGTATAAGTACATATATATATACCTAAAAATATGAATCTATAAATATACATGATATCAGATGCTTTTAAATTGAAAATAATTTTTTGGAGAGGTTTTTGCTACAGGGCACGTGCACTCACCAAAAAGACAGAGACAGACAGAGAGAAAGAAAGCGAGAAATCACTCCCCAAGGGGTATGGCCGTGCCGCAATCCTTTCTCCTCTCAGGATCTTGGGCATGCATGCACACACGCCTGGTGTGAGTTTAAGCCGCCGGGTCCGGGACTCAAACCACAGCTGACTACGTGGGAGTCCAGCAACATAACCATTATGACAACTGCTGGTCCCAAATTTTTCTTTTTTAAAAAAGAATTAATGAGCCAAAGAAAGTTTATTTAGCTTCAGAGTCAGAAGTTTGATAGTCTTTATTGTCAAATGTGTCAGTGTGTCTGCTTCTATCCCAGTGTTACAGTAATTTCCTAGCAGAGTTCTAGTCATCTAGGTTTGACTTCACTAATGTCCATAGAGTAACTTACTTTAATGTGATGTACACCATCCAGTTTTCCAATTTGTTGCTCAATGGTCCAAACACAGGAATTGCATGTCATCCCCTTAACAGAGATGGTAACAGAATTCACACCCATACTTAAATCCATTTTGATTTCTTCTTTACATTTCCTGTTAGAAACAATAAACACATTCACTTTAGCCATGGAAATCATTTTTCTTCAACTCCCGACCTCCCCAATCAAAAATGTGTGAGTAATAAAATATGATCAGCATTCTTTTCTACTTGCTTAGGAAAAAGTTTCCTTCACCTTTGATGAGGTAAAGGAAAATTGTTTCTATGGCTATGCTAAGTAAAAGTAAAAATCTGCAATACTCGAATCATAAAAGTAAATAGCCTTTGAACCAACAGGTGGCATGGTGGTTAAGGTGCTAGATCTCACATAGTTGACTGCGTGGATCAAGTCCAGTGCCTTGAAAAACACACTCTCGGGACCAGCAGTTAGCGTAATGGCTATGTCATTGAACTCTCATGGAGCCCACCGTGGTCCGAGTCCCGGACCCGGTAGCTTAAACCCACTCCGTGCACAGGTGTGTGCGTGCCCAAGATACCGAGAGTAAAATGGGGAAGAGATTTCGACGTGGCCACCCCACCTGGGGGAGGTGATTTCTTTCTTTCTTTCTTTTTTTTTAATTTATTTGCATTCATTCACTGTACATCATTACAGCATACAAAATGAGATTTTTCCATCCAGAGTACACTGTATATTGTCTCTATCAAGCACATCAACAAACATGTTATTGTCAGCAAATAATCTTTCATTTCTTCTTTTCTGTATGTTTTGATTTTTTCCCCCCATCCTTGATTCCCTCTTACCCTCTGCCATCTCCCACTCTCCTCCCACACTGTCTCTGGTATCTATGTTTGCTTTCTATACCGTTTTCCCCCCACATTTTATTGAATCACCAAAGACCCTAATCAATCCAAATACCCTCATAGCAAACACAGGTGACACACACATTTCCATGAACACAAGTCTAACTTTACGCATCCTATAAAGTAGCACCTAGCTGGGGCTACATATCCTACTGCAGTCATTGAATAGATA